GGTGAAAGTAAAATTTTAAACCATCCCAAATTGTAAAATGGAACCAGGGTCGCTGTGAATGTTTGATGAAGCTAAATATTAACGGTACTCGAAGTACTCGAAGCGAAATGTTCGCGGAATTATTATTGCTACAATTGCGATTAAAGTGCTTGTTGAGTTTAATAGCGTTAACAGGATTGGACTTTTGAATGATGGTTAACAGCAAGGACGGACATTAAAACTGCAAGGTGTTGACTCGGTTAGTTCTCGCTGGAAATTATTAAAGCGGAGTGCTCCATAGAATGGCTAAATAGCGATCAAAAAAGTTGATCTATCTCCTCGAACGATCTTCGGACTAGGTGAAGAAGATTGATCGCAGTCTAAGACTATCTTAGCCAGGAATTTCTAATCAAAATGCTAAAAGTAATTGAGTAATAAAATTGAATCGACATCCAATTACGGGCAGTGACGAGTCACTTGCCAGCTGAGATAAATATGGTACTGTTGTTACAATCCTTAGCGATAAAACCTCTGAGCACCCTCTAAACAAATATCCAATGGAGTTTCACGGGGAATGGATATCAATTGACCTAAAAATGTTTAGTAATTCCATTTATTATTTTCTACAATGAACCATTGTTTTTTGAGGTTTTATGTTACATGATACGTGTTCTTCTTCTTATTGAATAATCTCTTCTACGTTTCGGTGTAGAGATTTCATTTAATCATTTTGATTCGGGGATGTGAGGGTTGGCCCACGATTCCGTGGTGCACTGCCTCCTTGAGGCCTGCTTTGTGGCTTCAGGGATCTAAACATGATTTTTAACTCCTATTTGCTGTGACTGTCAAATGTCACGACCCATTCAGGTTACCACATTGACAGATCGTTTAGTCTGTATAATACTGTCGCCAGGAGACCAGGAGGCACCACGCGAAGGCGCCTTTCATGAAATGTAGAACTCAAAAATAGAATAAAAAAAAATTGTCTGTCCGCCGTTCGCCGTACTCCGTCCTCGGCATTTCTCTGAGGGCGACTGGACTGATTTTATTGAGATTTGTAATCAAAGTCAGAGGTCACCCGAGGATGATCCTCCGACCTCAACATTACCGCCCGCCCTTTATTTCAAGATGTCGGCCGAAAAACCTGTGTTGGTATGGACTGTAGTGCCTATACGAATATTTCTTTTTCAATGAAACTAGCCTTGTCTTATATTCGATGTCTTTTAATTATGTGTATAGTATATACTTCACCAAAATTTACTTCCCTTTCAGAAAGATCTGTATCGTATCGGCTGTAGTTCCTGAACGAATGTACTAATAATATTAATGAAACTTGCATTAATGATTCTTCTAGATGCTCCATAAATTTATTTATGTAATATAATTCAACTAAAAAAAGCTGGAAAAAAAGTTAGGAGGGATGGTAAAATTAGATTTCCGAATAACTCAAAAAGCACTTTTTGGTTGATGTTGTATTATGGTTATTTATAAATTTACAAAAATAAAAAAAAATCTTTGTAATTGGACGATTTGGTGCTAATAATGGCTTTATAAATGTTTTTTATATTTTCTACATCAAAGCTTAAATCATTTATTTTGGCTTTTGATTTTTTGAAATTGATAAATCAACTCAGGTCTCAGAGAAATATTTGGGTTAATATTAGGAATCATCTTTTAGTGATTTTTCTTTATGTTACTTTTGATGTTAATAATTTGCAGCGTTTTAAACATAACAAAAATATATATCTTAAATATATACACATACATTTCTAACATGACTTGAAGCCTCGTTTTTAAGAGGCATGTTGTCGCAGTAATTATGGGGAGCATTATAGGCTGGACAATTTTAAACAAAATATATAAAATAAATATTATAATAAATAATATATAATATGAATATATAATAATATATAATATAAATATAATAAATAAATAAACATAATTTTGTGAAAACTTCGATTAGTCTTGTGAAAAAAGTTTTATATTTTAAAAAGATTTATTATTTGATTTATTGAATATAGTCCCTATTATTTATGAATTTTATTCAATTGATTTATTCCCATCGACTGACGAAATTTTATTTAGCTCTTTGGAAATTATTTATTCCCATTGAATTGAGACTTCAGTTATTAATTTAGATGGAGACAATATTTCAAATGATATATTTTAAAATTCAAAGAAAGAACATACATATTTTTTTTAAATAATCAAAATAAACTATTAAAATGAGTTTGTTCCTTTAGGTTCTGTCCTTAGTATAAGAATTTTATGATTATTTTGTATTTGGTGTAGCTTTTCTTTGTAAACAATATAGACTTTGCAATTAGCGCACCATTATCTTTAAAATGACAAAATACGACATTTCAAATTCTGTATTTTAAATTAATAATAAAAATACTGTTTGCTTAGATCTCTTTTATAAATCCGGCTGTTTATGAGTTTTCATTGAAATTACCAAGCAACCATTACTAAAACTTGATTCTCGTATTCAGAATCAATCTCCACATTGGCTGTTTGGTATAGATAGATAGATGAAAAAAAAAACAACTTTATTCTGGGACTAAGTCCCTTTAGAATAACAATATTGTACAAAATAATAGAATATTACTGGCCTAAAAGTTTGAAACAATAAATAAAATAATATAAAAAGTAAAGAAAATCTTAGGTGCACAAGCTATATACAAAACAGATAAAACTATGTACAGAGCATTTAAAACTATGAACAAAACCATTAAAACTATGAACGAATCACTTGAACTATGAACAAAACTATATATAAGGGTTGAACAACATAAACATACACTTTAAGAAATGAAGAACGAAAAAGAGATAGATTGAATTCATTTCATAAAAAAAAACTTTACTTGAATATATATATATATATATATAAACAGTTAATTATAATTGAATAAAAAAATTCCTATTTATTGAAATTCCTACGTCGATAGTAGAAAATGTATGTACTATCTCTTACCAAGTATTATGATTATATGATTACTACACAATACATATATAGTATTAATGATTAGCTGGTATCTGACTGTTTTTGGAACAGGAATTCGAATAGGAGGTTTTTGAATGTGTATAGGGAAGGGGCATGTCGAATTTTGATTGGGAGGGAATTCCAAAAGTTGACAGAGCGGGCTATAAAGGAGTTTTGGAATGAGGCAGATCTATGAGAAGGGATGTATAGGTCAGAGGGTCGAGATCTTGTTGTGAGGGAATGGATTGAGGACTTAAATTGGAGAAGGTTGTAGGCATAAGAAGGACAATGATCGGTAATCATTTGATAAAGGAAAGTGCCTAGGAAATATTGTCTTCTTAAGGAGGGGAAGAGCCACCCTAACTCAGTATATGTTCACTTTTAACTGACAGTAAATTACAGGAGTCCATTTTTAAAATGAGCATTTAATTTTAAAGCTAAATTAAATATACTTAGTTTTTGTTTTGTTCTTTATAGAAACTGATTCCAGTATTTAAAATAATAAAAATGTGTTGTAAGAATCAATTTCTATTTGGTGGCAGAAGTCCTCCGTTGATACGAGGCCATTCATTTATCTATAAACAGATTTTAAAAAAAAAAAATTAAATTCTGCGTATGTTATTATGATAATGTACGTTTCTTGTTTGTCTAATAGCTACCTCTTCTAAAACGTCACACTGGCTTAGATATACCAACACCAACCGCAAACGAAGGTTCCGCCATTCACGCTAGACCGGAGCGTACTCCGGCGGCCACGATTTACAATTTAGAAAGGAAACGCTACTTATATCGCTCGCCGGGTCACGATACTGGACCAATCGTGTCTATATCTGATCGGGTTACACCAGCCCCTCGGATAGTATAATAAGCTCTCTGGGTCATTACTGAGTTATTAGATATTATTAGTGAAATATACTTAGTAGTATTATATCATCCAGGATTATATAAGAAGTTTTGCGCTCATTGAAAAGTTGATTAGTTCTATAATATTTGGAGATCATTAACATATTAGACCAAGGATCCTCCCGTGGGGAAGGAGATTACCAAATCTATAAATAATCCTTGAATTTTTTAATTATTTTTATACGTTGTTAAAAAAAAAAAAGAAATTTCATTGGGTATGGTTTTTTAGGTATATTGTATATAGAATGAACATAGATTTCACGAACTCAAACATTAAAAATAGGCTCGGTCTAACGATGTGGAACCTATGATTAGACATAGTAAATAAGTTAGGACGTTTCCCAAATGATGAGTTACGGAAAATATTCCTCACCATTGAATCGAACCAATCTCTATAAAAGTTAAACGCTACTGTGCATCTACTGCTGATATTAAAACTATCAAGATAAATTACTTGTAAGTGATAAATGAAGAGCCGCTCAAAGTCAGCATAAGTTATTTATTTTATTGCCTATTTTAAAAAACAAAAAGTATTCTCAATTTTGAAGATATTAAAAAGTGTTTATTATTTTTTTTAGTACTTAAAGACGTACAATAATCATTAACAATTACTTTGTTTCGGTAATTACTAGGGACGCTTGCTTTAGAATATGGGCCAATAAATTTTCAATCGAAAGAAACGCCTCGTCAGCCACGAACTCGTAAGGCGTAGCTGATTCGTTGCCAGGTGATGGCTTATGGACGGGTGAATTGAATGTTCTGTTGACCAAAAGTTTCCCGAATGATGAGTTACGGAAAATATTTCCACCATTGAATCGAACCAATCTCTACAATATCATCTACTGCTGGGATTAAAAGTATGAATAAAAATTAGTTGTAATTGAAAAATGAAGAGCCAATCATAGATGGTTTTCGGATTATTACGTGTTTACCATAAATGGCACCAAAACAGTTATAAAATCGCCACTTACTCTCATACTCCAGTGCAATAGCTTATAGTTCCTTATAGTTCGACATCTGGTTGAGGCATCTAGGCATGTCGTTAGTGCAACCATATTGCTTTCCAAACCTGATACACATTGTTGAAAACTGTTCTTTCTACCATTCTGTAGCTTAGTGCTAAATAACATATCCTCAGTGGCCAAGTACCTAAAAGGAAATAGAAGGACGATTATTGAAATATTTTATTTGTATTTCAATATTTATTAATAAATGACTAAGATATATCTTTATAAAAATATTTTTGTTATTAAAGGAAAGAAGGGATGAGAGAAATGGATAAGTTGAGGGACCACCATAGTGATGCACTAAGCAGATAAAGAAAACTGTGAAGAAAAGTGGAACTTGAGGTACTGCAATTAGACCTCTGACCTATAAAATACAGATGGAGTTCCTTATAAGGAGTTCATGGTTAATAAGTCTACTATTTCAAACATCTGTGACGAAAATGAAAAACAGTCATCAAGGTGTTTTGCACACTGTTTATAATTCATACACCAAAAAGAAAAAAATCTAATTTGGCCGAAAACACTCTATGGAGCCGAAGGCTCTATGGATCGAGGAGGGTTAGTGTCATCATTTAGGTCAATCCATTCTGATTTCCCCATGAAAAGATTTGATCTTTCCACACCGTATCTCTTATCTTGTTTTGGTGATCCTGCAAGATACTCTTGATAGTTTGGAGTCCATGCATGCTCGAGATAGGCCTATGGTATCCTGGCATTGGGTTTTGGTCTTCTCTCTGAATGTTGGATTGGTACTCACTTGTTGGGCGGCATTCTTGTAAAAGATGGATTGATTGAAAGAAGAAGGCTTCGAATACCGTACTAACGACTGCTTTAGCTCTGCAGCTCATCTTAACAAAGTCTTTGCCGATCTCAGCCCTTGTAACCCAGGGTTGGTTTGACTTTGTCATCGAGCATAACACCTACCAAGTCCTTTCCAGTAGAACATCTAATAATTATTAGACGCTCTATTATTTATAATTAGCAAATTATAGTAACTCGGGTAGTTTTAATTACCTTTATAAATATTTTTTCTAATAATCTACTACTATAATCTACTTTAAGCCATTCATTTATATATATTTGTATAATTTGGAAACTGAATGAATTGCTCTATTTTTTCCTTATTTTGTTCAGTATATCACTCATATGGTGCTAAATCTGTCGCTTCCTCGATATCCATATAGAAAGAATCATCGCAGTCATATTTTCATACGCCCAGAAGCCTTGTTTTTTCACTTCAAGCGGATTATGAGACGCATTAAAATAACATGAAATAAATTTTAACACACTTTAATGATAGGTCCAATTTTGAATACATTTTTGAAAATAGAGAGAGGTACAAGTTAAAAAAATAACAATTATCTATTTTCATGAAGTTCAATGTCATTGATCATTACAGCGGAAGAAGGAAGTTAAGATTACACGGCGCAGAGGGAACTTCTAAAAGTCCTAGTGGGAATTCTCAATTTCTTTGCCATTAAAAATAATGAATCGCAAAAAAAAAAAAAAACAACTTAAAGACAGTGATATATCGCATTTAGGTCCATAAGTCATCTTTACCATGGAGAAACCAGGAAGAACATCCGGTTATTACGTCATGGAAGATGGAAATTAATACGTCACTATAAAAAAATATGAAACAAATAATAAAATTCCCGCAGTCTGGATATTATAAGCTAAAAGATACGACCATTATTTAATATATATACACACACATTGTACCCACAAAACAGCGAAGTTGGACCGCCAGATGCAGAAATGTAGGCCTAAACATTCCTTAATAAATATATTAAGCAATATTAAAGGCATAAATGATAAATAACCTTGTTTTTTTTTCTCAAAAAAAAACTGATGATTTCCTGCCGATTCCTCCAGTCCAGTAATAGTTCTGTAATAGTTTTTATTTACTTCTGCATTATAAAGGCTCTAAGTTGTAGATAAGGATTGGAAGAGCAATAACCCAGCTTTTGAACCGTTGTAATAACATTGAATTCGGAGTAAATTATGAATACTTTGGTAAAAGACAGAAAAGGAAAATTCAATAAAAATCAAGTTGTAATATTTATGTTTTTTTATTCATATTAAAATTAGTATATACGAGTATTAAAGAATGTCAAAAATAAATATTTCTTATTGATAAAAGTTTTTGCAATATTAAGTTTTGATTAACAATTGGATTTATCAATACTATCGGCGATATTTTTTTCTCAAAAACTAAAAATAGTGGTAGATGATAAATAGTCAAGATGCATTAATTTTATTATTGTGTGCGAAGTTTCAACCCAAGCAAGGGCCTGGGCATCAGGGCATGATTCCAATACTCAAGGTGCTCAAGTACTCGTTTAAATAAAATATACAAATATTGATTTTTAAAAATCCTCCAGAAAGAATACTGAGACAGATGTGTCTAATATTCTGTTTATTATATCTAGATTTGGTGTCTAGAGGTTTTCATTTGTTTAAATTAAGGCCATATTTAACCATTTTTTTATTTATTTTATCTTTACAATGTTTCGGCCATCACTTGGATCATTTTCAAGTCTTTAAATCTTTAAATTTTTGTACTTATTAGATTCCACATAAATAACATTTATAATTAAAATATATATTTTTTTTTTATTTACTGGAAGAATAATAGTACAATCTGCCTCTATTAAGGGCATTGGGTATTAAGGCTCTATGCGTACATTCATACTATTATATAATAATTGAGAAAAAAGAAATAAGAAGAAAACATGAAAGTAAAAAAATATATACAATAAAACAGTAACAAAAATATATGATATTTGTGAAACATAAAGAAAAAAGCACATTAAAAAGAAAAAAAATACATGTCACACATTTATTCCTATAATTAAAATATTAATTTTCGTTTACATAATTACTTTAAAAAAAAAAAAAACCTGTACCACTACAACCCATTAAGGGGGTCTGGGGTTCAGTACTATTTAGGGAAAGCACTGTTTCTAGGTCAACAGATGTGCAAGGAGGTGATTTGACCGAGATCACATTCAACCGCATCACATTTTCCCCCTTAATTAATTATTTAATTAAAGGTACCCACTTTACATAATTAGCTAAACTACTGATTTTTTCACACATTTACACTTTAAATAAATCATTATACTATTTTAATTGCCTATCAAGTACGTAACATCTACACGTTATATAAACTTCATAGCTACCTTAATTGTGTCCTCCAAATAAATATCTATATTCGATGTCATTTTCTTTATTCTAAGAAGAATTAAACTGTCCTAATATTTTAGGGTTACCCCTTCGTCAACTACCTGACTTAAATAGTCCAGATGGCGATGATGAAGGTAATTAAATTTTAATTTCATTATGACAAACATTTCCAGACTTGATAATGGCCCCAGTGTTGGCAGAAATGTTGTCAAGTAAAATAAGAAATAAATAAAATGTTGCTTAAATATGTGTCTAATACTTTTCGAACTGGAAAAAAAAAAATATATATATATTGGAATTGGTGATCAACTGTAACTTCAATAAAGAGGATTTATTTATGTTGTTACATGTAATTTATCGTTTATCGGAAAAAAAAAATTGTTGTTAGGGACTTGCAACATTGTGTGGACTTAAAGCAGGTATGTGGCACGTAAAAGGTTTGAGCCATTTTGATGTGTACACAATTTGGAGATTTGAGTTAAATACAGAGAAAATATTAGGGTTGGATAAACATTCATTTTTAATTCTTCTTTTTGTTGGGATGCTGATATTCTCTGTTTTTTTTTGGCAATGATAAATTCCAAATAAACAACAATTTATTTACTTGTTGAATTTACATGTTATCGTTTCAGGAAATTTATTCCCATCTTCAGAATTTACAATCCCATGTTTTCTTATCAATTCTTGGATAAAAAGGAGTTTATTACAAAATAATGCCTGTTACCATACTTTGAGTTGATTATTATTATTAATTTTTAAGGAAGCTTCCAATTAATTTTCCAAGGAGAGAATTCAATGAATATATTTCTGTTGAAGCTGAACTTTAAAAAAACCTTTTTGTGAATCTCGACTATATTTGTCGATAAAATAAAAAATACAGTAAGTGTATAAAAATGACACAAACTGTTTTAAATACTAAATATAGTTACAAAATGACAAAAATCGATCAAAGTTCATAGTGATTTAAGGGTGTGAAATGTCACTTAATAACTTTATGCAATAAAACGATATGCTTTTTATTATGGCTTTAACATTTAAGCATTGGAAATTAATGTGAGATGAATACCCTCATTTCTTTTGTGCGATTCACTCAAACTACAAAATTTTGGACATTGGCTCTTTTTGTTCCAAAGTACAGATGTATAATTTTTAGGTACGATATAAAGGTCTGCTAAAATTTATGACATTAGTAACTTGTCAAGCTGTTGAACTTTCACTTTATTCGAGCGACAATGTATCACTAATTTGTTGTGCTTTTAACAGCTTATGTTGTCCAGCCGTTGGCTCCTGATTACATCCTCTTTGATCCTGAGGGCAGTGCAAGGTCTGCGGAGCGTTAGCCAATCCCTCCGGCCTAACGAAGGTGTCGTCACCCTACTTAGCCTACTATTGGCCAAGAGATGACCACGTGACCTGCCCAGTCGTGACTGATGCTGATGCTGGCAGATCCTGCCATTGTGGCGGTATATCTTGGCAGTACAGTGTGTTAGTTGATTTATATCTTCGTCCTCATGAAGGTGATTATCACTGTCGTTGTTTTTCGCCGTTTCCCAAGGGTAACATTGTAACGGAGTGTGGGTGGACCGCGTTCGGTATTCCATTACAAATGGCATGGAAAAAAGAAGAACAATTATTAATTCAGACAATTGCATGCCTAGAGACTGGATTCATATATCACACGGACGCCTAACAAGGCCTCTGATCACTTGGGGTATAGATCATAATGGGTTCCGAATTATTAAGGCATCGCTCAATGGTTGTAAATTAGGGGCTATCGATGGACCTGGGCAAAGATTAAGAAAAATTGTAGTCCCGTGGTTCGTATGTATTTACTCCTCATTGATTTAGTCCTTGGAACTTAATGACACATGTTGTATATTGCTGTCGAATAGAGTTCCGTTTTGTTTCTATTATAGAAGTCAATTACAACATATGGATGATGTATGGTGTCAATGAAGTACTATGACTTTTGATTAGGTATTTTCAGTATTTTATTTTATTTACATAGATTTTATTTATTTACTGTGTCGTTGTTAGTAGGGTGTAGTAATAATGCTAAATTAAGGGCTCAGATGTTTGAAGTTTCCTAGGAAATTAATAATAAACTATTATTTAATTATAGTAGATCGATGCGAAAATTCTGTCAATTTATTAATTTGCAGCGGCGACTAGATTTGTGTTATTTTGTTATTTTTATTGATTAGTCAATTCTTATCGAAATTGAGCTACGCATCGATTACCATGTATACTTTATAACATAGAAGCCATTTATTTTCAAGTGAACTCTAATCATTATTTACAATTTTTCAGGAAACGCGATTTTATCTGTTTAAATTATATAATACATTAAGAAATTATTTATTGAATATATTTCTGGAAGTCACGGATTATTCTAATAGGAATTAATAAACTTTGACATTTGATTTTTTAGGAATAAAAACAGGTTCTTTTGAAAAAAAAAAACTTACAGTAAATAATAAAAAAGAACCATTTTGGACAAAAAAAGGTTGATTCGGGTTTGTTTTGGAGAGAAAAAATATTGTATGACTCGGAGGGAAAGTTATAAAAATTGTAATACAAAAAATTAACCTTTTCTTTACATTAATTATTTTTTAAATTTTCATTTGAATAAAACTAAAAAAAAAGCCTTTGATGAATTATTTTTAAAGAATAATTTAGAAACCAAGTTCCATTGCATTCCTAGAAAAAAAAAGCGGTTAGTTTTGGAAATGAATTATTTTCACAGCACTTGTCTTTGAAATATTTAGGTTCGTTTACAAAAAAATAAAATAAAAATAAAAAAAATGATATTACAGGTACTATCGGATTCATCGGCTGTTTTTTCCTTTTTTGTGTTTTGGTAATCGACACTTATCTCAATTTCGATAAGAATCTTGTAGGGATTACTTTGAAAATAAGCGGTTGAAATGGTCGTTCTGTTTCCTTAATTTAAATAGGATAATAGGAATTATAAAACCCAAGGTCTTTTTTTATTATTATTATTTTTTTTTTTTTTGCAGCCTCTAATTCAGCTTCCTTAAATTTATTTTACATTGAAAATTCTGAATCATATATTAATTTAAGAACGTATCTTACGGAGTTGATTGTATATAAAGGGCCATGACATCATAAGAGAATAAACATTTACCTCCAACGTTATTTCTTCCTTGCTACAGAAGGTACAAAAGGGAAGCATCATTCTTTTAGGAGATAAAAAGAAAATGCTGTGCTCAATATCGATTATTTAAACCGCGTTTTACGTTTAGGACATCAAGGATAAAATTTAGTTCAGTATCTAGCTATTATTATTCAAATCTATGTGACCAGTATATTCACGTGTTACCGTTTATTAATTTTTCATTAAAATGGGATTGTGCGGGTTGCTGCTTAGATTGTCACATATCAATACCAGCAAATACCAACAAGTAATCCCCCCAGCGCATGCGTTAGTGTATTTTCTTAGATATGTCATAAATTGAGCCTTTCAGTTGACTGAATGACTAACTCCAATTTCAACATTTTATGGTGAAGTCATTTCAGGGATATGTCTCGTTGGAAAATTAGTAATATCTGTACAGACAGTGAGTAAGTTAATTCCACAGTAAGTGATTGCAATGTTGCAGTATAGAGCTTTTAATAAAGGTATACACTTTTCCTCCAGAATTATTACTAAAATTAATAATCAAAATTGTTGAAATTGAAGTTAGTCATTCTATCTATTGAAAGGCTTCATTCGGATTGGCTTGAATTCGGAAGGAAGATGGGTATAGGATAAAAAAAAAAATACTTTATCAATTTTATTGAATTCTGTCAACTACTTCTATTAAATATATTCAAACGTATTATCCTTGATCATTGAAGTTGAACGGATGTTAGAGATTGATAAGAAAATGGTCAATTAGGAATCCATTTCATAAAAATTTATCCAATGATAAAAAAAAAAAAAAAATCCTTTCGCTTTGGAATCAGTCTCCCCATCTCTCAACCAAAATAAAAAGTACTCCTATGGTAAGAATAAACTTGGTCAATGATTAAACCCTCAATTTAAAATAATTAATTTTCATTGTCCCTATTGAGGATTGTTGGCAGATGTTTGCCTTAGCTAAAACTATTTAACTTGTTTTTCTTATTGTTTTGGCATTATTGATGTGTCCACTCTTCATCAGTTTTGTTAATAAAGACAAATCTAAAGACTATTTTAAATCTTATTTTATTTATTTCATCCATTACTACTTTTAGCCTTGCTAACGTTTACAGTATGACCTGCCGATTTGAGGATGCACCCTGCCTGTTGCCTAATCAACACGATGTTGCTGACCTGACAGAGCGGAAACTGGGTAACTCGGCTGAGGTTTGTAGAGGTGGTAATGGATTGAGGTAGTTTGCATCTACAGGGGTACTTGAATGCTGGATTAGTGTTTAACGCCCATCTTTAATCGTATCATAAGCGTTACATCCATCGCTCTCTTTCTCTCGAAGAATATTTTTTCACTATTATGGTTTGTAATGATTTTACTTACCGTTTCGTAATAATTTTGCCAGTCGCGATCTGTTACCTAACCGGTCCTTATATTCTCTAAAATATGTTCAAATGATAGCATTGAGATTGCACAATATTTTATTACTAAACATCAACTGAATTCGTTGCACAAGTTCTCGACTTTCTTAATTTACAACATCCTGGCTTTAATAAATTATCTTTTTATTAAACTTGGCCCTAATTTTGATTTGGAAGGAATGTAATTAGATTATAACTATTCCAGGTTAAATAAACCAATGATCGATTAGAATAAAAATAAAAACTGGAAAATCAAATAAAAATAAAATAATAAAATAATAGGACTCTTCAAAATCAACGAAAAAATTCTTCACTTATTGTTCTGCACGCACTTCTTCACTTGTTTTTTTTTCACATAATCATTCTGCGAAGTCATGTTGATCCACTTTTTGAAATTTTATTTCGGCTGCTTGTTTGTGAGATTACATACTTACTTGATTTCATGAATTAAATATTTTTGTTCATTTCGGTGATTAATCATTTCTGCTACACCTGAAAGAACACATTTATTGGCTTGAATAAATTCTTATATTTACTATGTGTTATTCAGTCGTTATGTTATTCAATTTCACCGAACTTTCTTCTGTAAAAAAGAAACTTCTTTTATAATTAAAAAAAAAAAGAAGATGACACAGCGTTTCAATTGATTTTATGGCAGTTTTCAATTTTCTCAGGTAAGCATTAACAGAGTAATTGAATCCGAGGTCATTTGTTTCCTAGAAGAAAATGAGGTGAAAATACGATGTCCTTTGCTGCACACTTTTTTTTTTTTTAACCACCATAAAACATGACATCTTATTAATTTATAGATGACCATGTCCGAATCGGGTTAATTTATGTAGGTCGCAAGGTTCGTCAAAGAATTTTACGGTTAGGGGTCAGCATGATTCTAAGTGCGGGCTCAGTTACAAGGAATAGGAATGAGAATAAACAAACCTGCTGGCAGTACAGATCATGTTTCAGCAAGTTCTGTTATGAAAGCCACGCTCAACTTACATCTTCCAGTCAAACATATACTGTCCTTAATGCTACACGATTCCGATTTTATTCCTTTAGTAATCATATCAATATTATTTTTGGAAGTAGAAACTTCTTTAGTAGGCGCGTTTTGCGCTTAGCATATGGTATTAACATATTTCAAAAACTGAAAATCGTACTTGCGTACTGTCATTAAACTTGCGTATAATGAACTATTATTCAAAATCGTTATTTAACACGTTATATTGATGTCTGTACATTTACTAACGATCCTCTAAAATAATCATCATTATACTATTTCTATTCTTGTCTTCTTATTCTCACTGCATAACTTAATATCCTTTATATACAATTTATGAATTTTAATTTGTGTATGAGGTTCTATTGTATCCCAGTATTTTTCAATTATTTTTATTATATCTTTCAAGTTGATATTGGTAAATAAATTTTCTACATAAAAACAGACCAAACAATACTTACCTGTTGTCTATTTTTTTTAACATTAGCTTCACCTACATTGAGTTTTTTACATTATAACCATTATTTTAGGTTATTGAATGTGGAATTGAGATATTTAGCCAACTTTTTCATGACCCCATTGATATTACTGATGATAGGCCTAAGTGGAGCGCCACGTTTATGTAACTTCACTAATCCATGTTTTCTAAGTATATTGTGGTTAAGATTAATTAGTTTAAACTCGTTTTATAAGTAAGTTTTTAAGTTGAATAACAAAGTTCTATCACATAAAATATAGACATCAAAGTAAGGTCAATCTAAAAATGTCCTTAATGATTAATAATTTATTTATTCAAATTAGTGATACTTACTAATTTATGTTGTATCAAACGACTGTATAATATTTATGTGGAAGTCTCCAGTGGGAAGGTTATATAATGTTATATTATTCCAGTAAAGGTTCTGCTATTATTATCATTCATATTATTTCTCTTATTTTTTTAAATATTGTTAATAATTTAAAAAAAAATTTTTGAATAATATTAGCATATGTAATATATATATATATCCGTATATATTAGCATAACCTCGTTATCATTTGGTTTTCGGAACTATCTTTTTCCCTTTATATATCTCGTTAAAAGAGTATGTTAAACATTTCCCTTGCTTACAGTACGCATGTCCAAGTTATAGTTCCTGAGATCCATTTTAATCCATATC